AAAATGCAAACAACGAATTCCTTTTCTTTAAGCCAGAAATTGCCCCCCGGACCTCATGAAGTGGCCCTCTGGCCCAAAAAATTTACATTTTCAAATTTTTCCAATAAAAAAAAATGGCAGAGAGCCGGCTCAAAGCCCAGTTCCCAGAGGGTGACAGCGGGGTTGAGAAACCTGTGAGTCAGAAGAAGAAGCCTTTCTATTCCGGCTTCTTCTGAGGCCCTTCTCCCAGTCGTGCGCAGCGACCTGCCCCCACTGCTGCTCGGAGGCCGGAGTGGAGCTCCTCAGGCTGCACTCGAGCTCATTGCTTTAGAGCAGTGGTTCTCAACCTTCTGGCTCTTTAAATACAGTTCCCCCGTTGTGACCCAACCATAAAATTATTTTCATTGCTACTTCATAACTGTAATGTTGCTACTGTTATGAATCGTCATGTAAATTTCTGATATGCAGGATGGTCTTAGGCGACCCCTGTGAAAGGGTCGTTCGACCGCCAAAGGGGTCGCGCCCCCCAGGTTGAGAACCGCTGATTTAGAGGAACTGGCTTTTGGAGAGAAGAGGATGGAAGCAAAGATGGGGAACAAAGTTAGAGAGGGTTTCAGATCCTCCCCAGGGCTCCTGATGATCTCCTGCCTCCTCCACCCCCCCCCCCCCACACACACACACACACGCGGGCCCGCACACACGCACACGCCCTCTCACGCGCACACCCACTCTGCAGCTGGTCCTCTTGACCCGGCCCTGCTGGCCGCCTGGAGCCGCCAGCCGTTAGCTCACCAGGAAGTGGACTCAGGCGAGTGGGCGGGGCGGGGCTCCGGGCTCGTGTTGCAATCCTGGAGATTTCTGGTGGTGTGGTTGCCACTGCCTGACCTGGGGCTCTTCCTTCTAGCACATTTCTGCTTCCTGGGACAGTCCCAGGCCTGGATGCCAAAGCCCAGAATTCTCGGTCCCTGGGAGAGGTGACAGAGAAAAGGGTTTGTCTCTGCAGAATGGCGGTTTGGGAAGGGGGTGTGGGGGCAGGGGACAGGTGGGATGCCCTGGGGTGGGACGGGCTTGGGCTGTGGGTGAGGGCCTGGTGGCTGTGCTTGCTTTTGGAGAAGTGACTTCCCCTCTCTGTGCTGCATACCTCCCCTGCCCCCTCGCCTCTGGGAACAGGGCCCTTCATGGGATGATCTCGGGCTCAGCTACCGGCCAGGCCCCCGTGTTCATCCCAGGTCAGTGATGGAATCCCGGACTCTTGAATGTTCTCCTAGGCAGAAGGTGGCCGGCAGCCGAGGGCAGGAGATGCAGAGCACAGCCAATTACCTGTGGCACACGGACGACCTGCTGGGCCAGGGGGCCACTGCCAGTGTGTACAAGGCTCGGAACAAGGTAGGGCCCAGCCCTGGCCCCGTGGCCCCCTCTGGCCCAGCCAACCCTCGTGGGCAGCCAGGCGGTGTGTGGCTGGGCAGAGGCCTCTGGACTTGGCCTTGCACACTCTGGGGTCAGGGACACTGGGGGTTTGGGCAGAAGTGTGGGAGCTGCGGCGGGTTCCTCGGCCTGGTCCCTCCGTTAGGCGGTTTGGAACTGGGGCGAGTGATGGGAACACAAAGCTGACACCGGGGAGGTGACAGCAAATGTAGGAACAGCAGGGTGTCCGGTGTGCTGAGCCCCTGTCACCTCTCAGTACTGGGATGGCTGGGTACCCTCTGAGCGCGGGAAGGAGCTGGGGGAGCCCATCCCCATCCGGGCTGTCGTGGCTCATGTCTGGTGTTAGGCTGCCCGACGAGGCTGAAGGAGGAGGCTTGGGGTGAGGGTGCTCCCCAGACAATGGACTGTCCCCGCCAGAGCCCCTAGCAGCCCCCTCTGTCCCGATGGCAGAAATCCGGGGAGCTGGTTGCTGTGAAGGTCTTCAACGCCGCCAGCTACCTGCGGCCCCGAGAGGTGCAGGTGAGGGAGTTCGAGGTCCTGCGGAAGCTGAATCACCAGAACATCGTCAAGCTCTTCGCGGTGGAGGAGACGGTGGGTGCAGTGCCCGGGCAGAGGACGGTCTTGACTTTGACCTTCGCAGGCTGGGAAGAGTCGGGTCACACGCTAATAGAGGCTTGGTCACGTGCTCAGCAGCAGGGCAGCCAGAGCAGCAAC